GAATACGAAAACATTGGTGAATGCCACAAATTCTCCTAAATCACTCGTACGCACAACTTAAGAACAAATCTGTGCATAAGAACGGTTCTTGCATGAGGCCCATTAGCTCTAAACCCATATTGACTGCTACTTAGAATGTTTTGTTTAATAAATTTATCTAATCTTATCACAAATAATTTCTCCAGAATCTTTGAAAACTGTGGTAACAAGGGTATTGGTTGGTAATTGTTAAACATACATTTCTCACCATTCCTATAAAGAGGGACTACCTTAGCTAACTTCATGTTGTCTGGAAATACACCAGTTGAAAAAGATAAATTACATATACTGTGTATGTAAATGGCTCAATAACATAACCCATTATTTCCTTGACAAACATAATGTCCATGTCCACACAATCTTTTGAGCTTTTATCTGTAAGATTTTTTACAATATGCATTATTTCTTCTTTGTCAGTTCCATCAAGAAAAATACTGTTAGTGCAACCCATGACTGTATGACTGACATTATTATCTACTTTTGGTATTTTAGCTGCAAGACTTGGACCAACATTCACAAAATAATAATTAAATCCATTTGTAATTTCATATATAAATTTGTGTAAAAAATTATAAAACAAAAGACAAAAAATAAAGATATAGCATTGTTGCTGGTTTAAGAATTTCATAATGGTACAATATCCACAAGAAATTTTTTTTATTTTGATATTTTTTAAAAGCGTGCTTTATTCAATATTTAAGTGAGATTGTTATCCAACACTTGCATAATACAAATCTGTTGTCAGTAAATGGTGTGATTAAAGGTGTAAAAATACATTTTTGAACAATGTATTAGAAGTTTGTTTCTGTGTCTTGAGTGTTGTGTTTTGCTTCATGCAGCGTACATATGAAGGCTAAAGCTCCACTTGTAAATTACTGTGGAATAAAAATCACAAAATACTGATTTATTTATTATTACTGTATTTATTCTTCCAATGACAGATTATTTTACATATGCCATTATTTTTTATAAAGCTATTTTTCTATTATTATTTTAACACCTTTTTGCTTTTATGTCTTGTTAGTTTAAATTTGTTTTCATGTGTGTTTCTTTTGTTTTACTTTAAGGCTTTGGCTGAAAATATTTGCTTCTATTTGCTGTCTATCCTCTGTAACACTGTAAATTTAATATTGATCTTTGACATGTACTTACAGGAAACACAGAGATATTGTGTCTTGTTTGCTGAGTATACAGTGTGGAAAGTGAGAGGATCTTGTTTACACAGTGAATATGAACCAGGTTGCTGGTTTAGCTGCAAACCCAAAATGGGATAACACAGAAATAAGCAATGGGAGGCTGCCAAATGTGATAAATGTCCATACCAGCATTTTTAAGAAAGCTCAAAGTCTGATTAATGCATCATGTTTATGGGTGATACACTGTTAGCGGTTTGTACTTCTAGTGATGCTAATCTTACTAAACATAAGTTTTACTTTCAAGTTTGTTTTAATTCAAAATGCTAGGTTATTTCTTTAAAAAACAGAAAATCTGCTGCTTTTTGCAAACAGTTTTGTGTAACCAACAAAAAAGGCATTAAAATGATTAATCTTGACTCGTTTTTTTATGGGAAAAATCATGGGGAAAAAATAATGCAATCCAGCCTCTTTATTCAGAGTTTTACTTTTCAGGACAAAGCAAAAATGATCAGATCTTTAAGAAGATTTAAAAAGCTTAAAATATAACATTAAGAGTCAAAATCACACAGATTCCAGTCAAACTGGAACATTAACACAGTGCATGTATTTTACCTGAAGAATTTTTAGATTCCATATTGAAAATGTTATAAAGAAGCTTAAATTGAAGCTAAGAAAAAATGACTGTTTTTGCTTTAGAGCTTGAAAAAACAGATTGAAGCTGCATTTTTTCCTCTGCTGTACAGCCCTGCTTTGAATGTATTTACTGTACATGTGTTACTGTACACGTGCTGTCCGTATTCGACACTGCTGTGACAGAAGAGACTGCTGCTGAAGAAGCAGAAAACAAACAACATTCTGTACTGGTGTCTTGATGATAAAATTGTAGATGTTGTGATATGTAAAAAAATGTGTATTTGCTCAAGAGATAAATCTATGAGCAGTCTGGAAACTTTTCATTATAGGTTTTTGCTAACATATTACAGTAGAAGCCCCTTTCTGTCACATAAAACTAAGAGTCATCTGTGCCATACATATATATAATTCAAATTTTGCTTTTGTTTCCTGGTTCTTCATTCGCACTGAAGTGACTAAAGACAAATTCCTCCAGCTGGTTATAAATAAATGCGGTCAGCCCCTCCAGGGCTGGAGTGGGACTCATTTTCAGCCCTGGAGTTTAATGCCTCCGACCGGCCCACTATAGATCACGATATATTATTATTAAAGTGGTTTTTACAATCTCTAAATCATTGATAATAGTGCACTATTCTGTAAAGCCTTGTAATTCAGTGTAGTTTACAAAAATATTTCCAATTGGTGGCAAGTGGCGTTGCTTCACAATGCAGATTTATTTCAACATCAGTGCACATCTCCACAATTATTATTTACAACACATCCTTTTCAACAATATCAGAATCTAGGCTATATTTTGTTCATATAGGTGCAGTGAAATAAAGGAATAAAGAAAATATTCAATTAAAAATATAAAAAGTGTTAGACTTTCTAATAACACTATCAGCTCTTTTTCCTCTACAAGGAAACAATTCCATCATAACTTAGATTTTACAAATATGAGAACAAGTTAAATCTCTACACTATTCTTTACATAAGAATTTATTTTTACGTAATATCAAATATCAAACAAATTAGTGTTTGCAGATATCTAATCCTTATGAATAAAGAATAAAAACATATTCCACTGTGCTTCAAGTTTGTCATAATATTCTAATGATTCCATTATCTTGTCTTCTATCCCTCTGCACAAGAGTAGCTTTCAAAGAAATATCAGATTATGAAATGGATTTATTTATTGTTATTTAAACAGGCAAACCTATTGAGATTGTTGATGTATTTTGCAAGGAAGCCCAGACGTGAAAGTGACCTGTTGTACATGTTTGTAGTCTGTGGGGA